ATGCGCATGTGCGGCTCTGCGCATGTGCGGTGATAGAGATCCAGTGCCGTTATATGTTGTGTGTTGACCGTATGGCGGGACGTTTTGACATGAGAAGGTTAGGTGACTACAAATAAGGTAAGATTTATTTATTTACAAGCATGGAATCTACGAAGCCAGCAGCTAAAAAACCAAGAAGTAGAAAATTTCAATTAATTTCAAAAAATTTAGAAATATTTTTAATGTAGCGGGGTAACGGTGCCTTGTTTAACTTGTATGAGACACTGTACTGACGCCGTATTGCCGCACATGCGCATACAACCGGTCCCATATCGCAACACTGTTAGAGACCGGCTGCTTAGTGTATATGTGGCTTTGCGCTTGCGCGGCGATGGAAATGCAGTGCCGACACATGTGCAGGACTTTACGCGGGACTTTTGACAGGAAGAGGAAGATATAAATAAGGTAAGGCTTTTTTATTTATTATAATTAATATTTATAAAATAATAAAATTATATTTATAATGTATTTTTGTACATATATATATGTATATGTATATGTATTTTATTTTTTAATACATTAAAAAAATTTTTATTACTTTAAATGTAGCTGGGCAACAGAGAGTGCCTCTTTTTATTTGTACACACGGTCACAGGAAGGCCTTAACACATAAACTTGCATGAGTGTAAATTTCACAAGCCAATTCAAATATGCTTTGACACTCGTTGACAAATTCAACAAATTTGTGTTAAGGCATTCCTGTGACCGTATGTACGAGATACTTTGGTTGTTTTCCAGCAAAGAACACAAGTTGACACAAATCGACACAAATATCACTCTGTCTTTGTTCGATATTCAATGAGCAACAGAGAGAATAATACTTTTGTGTCAACTTATTTCCCTTGCTGGAAAACAACATTTACTGACGCCGTATCGCCGCACATGCGCAAACAAACCGGTCCCTAATCGGAGCACTCTAGCAGTTAGCAGGTGTATTAAGATTGGAACGGTAGGATTGCTATTACGGTGTAGATTTTGATAAAGAATTAGACGTCGATCTCTCGTTGTCTAAATGTGATCGCGACTGTGGAAAATTTCGTTGCCTTTTCCGTATATTGAACGGAACGGACGTGTCGCTCGATATGGTGAGTGAAATGTGGAACTGCGTTGACACTTGCTTCGAAAGAACATAGGTTAGCAAGTGTAAATAATGAGACTGATTTTTAAAGATCACGTTTAGTTCGTGAATCGATTCAATTGCACGTTTTTTTGTTTACTCGCACAGTTGCAATTCTTGTCGAATTGGACTTTTACTTTCAATTTCCTGTTCGATTTAACTAAATTTGATGTAAGTAGATACTATAGTGTTTATTCATCTTTATTATCTTATCCGTTTATTCTTTATTCATTTATCTTGGAGCAGAGAAATATATATGTATTTATTGATGTAATATATTTTTATACATAATTGCAATTTGTTTAGTCTGATGTGTTGATTAATTGGAATAATTTGAATGTTGATTAATTTAAATGATTATTTTTAAATTGATTACTTTATGGTGGCAGGATGTGTCAGATGATGTAGAAAAATCATGGGATCATCCCTGGACCACAGAAGAGATGAAGAAGAAGAGGAGGGAATGGAGTTTGGCAGGTGATGTTGGACTTCTCAAGCATCTTCAACAATTTTCTGAAGTATGATTCATACTTTGTTTTGCGACATTTACACGTGACAGTATATTGCATCTTTATTTTGTGTAAAATTTCAGAATCTTGTGTCTAAAGCTAACAAAACTCAGGCTGCTCTAGACACATTAACGACTCAGTTGAAAGAAACAGAAATACTGGTGGACAATGTTACCAATACATCTTTGGCTTTAGCCAATACTCAATTTATTGAGAGTCGTGTGCAGGAGGATGACATAGAAATTAAGGAAAACTCTGAGGAGAAGCAAGAAGTAAGTATATTTGTTTCAAAGTATTAATATTTACATCTCAATATGTAACATTTTTATTTTTAAAATAAACATATTTTTAAGAAACTTATCTTTTGACATTGAAATAAAATAATTTTTTGTCATTTTATCAGAATGTAAAGCTTCAAGATTCAACGCCGGAGAGTCTTTTAGCCAGCATAAGTGAGAGTGTTAAGCAAGGTTTAAACATAATGGATGAAAAGTACAAAGTGATGGATGTAGCTTGTAGCGACAGCGAGGAAGAAGACGATGGTGGTGCAGTAGTATTTAGGTTAGCGCCATTACTTTTGTTACGGCGTAACAAAACTTGTTTCGTACGTTGTTATAAAATATTCTTGGATTGCAGCGTCATTGTAGGACCCAACGATCCGTACCAAGATCGACCGTTGCCATACGTTATCGGCTCCAACAAGTGGACCACGTCGAATAAGATTGGTTTGGAGAGCAGTAGCAGTGAGTCGGAACAAGCCGACGAAGAAAGAGACGAATCGGAGAGCGAAAAAGAGGAGGCGCAAACGATGTTCAGTAGCCGGCATAATCCAGAGATAAATATAGCGAGACTGTCGTCGTCTTCCAGCGATTCCGACAACTATAATAATCCGAGTAGTAACGTATCGTACATGAATAATAGCAAGACCGACGCTATGTCTCAGAATAATATGAATTCTGCCTCTGAGTCCACGACACCTAATAACATATCGAAGGTAATTAATGTCGCATACTTTTGCCTGTTTTTATTTTCTACAATCTTTAAGATAAATTTAGAAATTATTGTTCTTTTGCAAACAGACATCGAACGAAACAGCGCCCAACTTTGCGGAAGAGTTAGCTAAACGATTAGGCACCGTTCGCCAAGCGCAGAAGCCCGCAGTCGTGGATGAAGCCAGCGAATCGTCGATCAATCGATTTAAAGGTGCGCAGTTAACAAAAAATTTGTCGCAAAAATTTAAGTCATAAGTAAAACGTTAGTAAAACGAGATTTGTTAACATCTATATTTTCGCAGATGACTTATTTGCATCGGAAAAAGATGAGGGTGTATTTAATGATGGTGCGGATAGTCTGTTCAGCAATAAGAAGGGTCTCTTCGACGATCAGGTGTCTGCGAACCTATGGAAAGAGAAATCGACCAAATCTTATAAAAATAACATTATACCGGCTAGTATTGATGTACCACCGCCGATTAGTATAGTTTGTAGGTATCATTATTTGCACGTATCTCGTTTTGCGATAAATTCTTTTTTAAATCGACTGAACTTTCAGCAACGAAGCCGAAGTCAGCGATCGATGACCTATTTGCCGATGCCGATTCAGAGGAAGACTCAGACATCTTCTCGTCGAAGAACACCGTCAAGAAACGCACGAAAGAATCCTCCGATAACACAAACACGGAGGACAAGTCGAAGAAATTCTTGGATGCTATAGCACCAGGATTCGCTAATAATATTGCCACGAGCACACCGGACTCTAATATCAAAGCCTCGGGTTTGTTCAGCGACGATGAGAACGATGATGGAGATCTGTTCGGCAACTCCAAAAAGCAATCTCATAAATCCCCGAGTGCGTCACATTCTACGAACACGACTCAGGAATCAAACAGGAAGGTAAGTTCAGTACATGCAGTGTTTTCGACGATACTGAAATCCATTGGCGAATCTTTAATCGAACGTCATATTCTTCTATCGTAACTTTAATTAATTTTATCTCATTTTAATTCATTAATTTAATTAATTTCAGTTTTAATTTTTGTCCTTAATATTATTTTATTACACTAATTTTGACAAATGCGAAAACTGAAATTAAAATTATAGCATCCGTTAAGTTAAATAAAGTTTGAAGGTACACTTAAAATAAATATTTGCAGTTGCCGGTCGGAGGCGTGTCATTACTCAATTATGGGTTCCACGTCGCGTCGGACATTTCGGAAAACAAACTGGCGAGCCGAATAATGCAGCGGCAGCAAGAGTCATCCGACTCATCCGATAGTGATGCGCCAGGAAATTCTGATAGCACGGCAAAGAGCAATATCGGGTCAGCATCCGCTCAGTGGAACACTTCGAGCAATATCACGGCGTCCGAAAACGTATCCGCGGTAAACGAGAACAGCAGCAGCACCAGCGGGATATCAATACGGCCGACCAGCATCGATATCACGTTGCCATCCGGTTTATTGTAAGTTTTACTTATTTTTTCCTCGTTATAACACATATATTGCGGTATCGCTATTACGCTAAGCTGTCAGATTTCCAAAAAATTTCCAATGTCTTAACTGCTTAGCGTAATGTGAATAAATTTCAAGTTTTAAATAATTAAATTATCCATATTAACTGGTTGTTCGAATTCGATATACAAGGATAACGTGCACATTAAAGTAATACATCAAATGCTTGAATGAAACGATTCTCAGATTACGAAGTCACATTTAACGGAAGGAAGTGTATCGGATAACACGCGATACTAACATTTCCCGAGATCAGCGCCTAAGCAGAGAGATTGCGACGTACTGTGTTGCGTATTTGTGGTCTCTCGTCGGCGCTAACGTTGCATGTAGAATGTAAATGAGCGACGTCGCGCTGTCATCAAACGCCAGCTGCACGCGAGTCGCTTAATTTCTGACAGATATTTCGAGAGCGTGCTAAAAGTGTCTAGTCCGGGTTCCTCGTCCCGTTCGCATCCTCAGATGCCTGCCAGCACCCTCTCCTTTCTAGCGTGTGCCAGATACTCACGGTGTCATTGAATCGATGACCCAAACATTAGTCATTCGCGTATGCATTACGCGAGTAAATAGCGCGCGAGTCCAAGGCGAGCTTCTTCAGTGGTCGAATGCATTGCTCATCGCCAGTTGTAATTTTCCTCGCGAGCATCCTCGAGCCGTACAATCTCTATGGCGATTAAGCGTGAAAATTTATATTTCGAGCGACGCTGTCGAAGTGACTTAAAAAAAGTTTAGTTACAAAGCATCTTTATTTGCAAGCTCGAAGATTTCATTCGACATTCTTGTTTCTCTTCTCCAGACTTGGAAAAATGAAAGGCAAGTAGAAATTATGAACAATAGAAATCGCGCTTTTAATTAATTCAGATTAATTGGCAAATGAATGTCGCTTTCTTTTTCACGTTTTCGGAAAGATATAGTTTCCTGCTGACTTCAGGAAATGACGGGCGTGCAAGCACCGTGGATAATAAAATCGAAGTCGGTCAGGCGAATGAGTTCGGGCGAAAGTAGCGTTTATTTGCGTTAACATGCCGGATCGTGCCAGAAGCACCGTGTTCCTCGTTTAGCTCGAAAGATCAAACGCGAAAGTGAGGGCTAACCGGAAGAGAAGTGTTTTTGCAATTTTATTACAACGTAAGAATTATAAGTGTGACAAAAATGTGAATTAAAAATAACAAACAACAGTGTGTTCGAGCAAACTCAGTTGTGCGTTATCGCGCGGAAGAATTGTGCCATCATTTTTATCTGGTTTCAACAAGTGACAAACAAGTGGAAAAATAATAATGTTACCTTTCGATGGATTTTTAGACAAAGACAATATTTATTTATGCGATATCGAGCATATTTTTAAGAAAAAGTGTTTCTTGTGTGAAACCTAATCTTTGCAAATTGGTCTGGCACAGCATTCCGGAAAAGGTTTGCTAATGTCGAGTTCGTGATAACCGATCTGCTGTCCCTCTGCGCATTGCATCAAAGGACATCTGCAAAGAAAATGAAATAAAATTGGCAGAATAAAATTTTGTAATTATACAGAATCAATTATGACATAGATCTCAAGTGCAATTATTTTCGCATTGCTAAAAAGAGGAGTAAAGGTGACGATTGCGGAATATAACAAGATCTTATTTTACGGAAAATATCCTCCCTTTACGGAATGTTTGTGTATCAGTTTGAAAGTAAGCCACGGTCTTTACAAGTTTATTAGTATATGGAGCGTGTCCCAGAAATCGAGTGCTTTCTCTAAATCACAGATCACAGAAGTCACACACGAAAGTCAAGCTACGAGTAATTTTTTTTTTGCAACTGAATAGTAATTTAAGAGTTTTCAATGAATTGAATACTGTGGCATGAAAGAAGACATTATTCTTTGATTAATCTTAAGCAAATCTTCCTTGATTGATTCATAATTTATGTGGCATGTTACATGGATAATGAATATCATTTATTATTGCACATGCAGATTTATTTAAATAAAAGCCGTAGATCAGAATAACTGGTTAGCAGAAGATCGTTGCGTCTTTTCTTTTTTTGAATACAAAATTAACGTCAGAAGCATCGTATTATAATACACACGACGCGCAAAATAAAATTTTTTTTTTTTTTAACAGATTTTGAGATGTATTTTAAATGGAATATAAAATAAAACTTTAACTCACGCAAGCGCTGAAACTGAACCGTTCTCGTTACAAGTAAGGGTTAAGCATTTGCGATGGTGTTTTCCCACAGATAAAGATTCGCCTTCAAATTCGCAGTTACCTAAATAAATCAAGTATCGTCTAATTAACTTTTTTATTATTGCGCAGAAAATATTATTAAGTTTAAAGTGCATGTTATATAATAATTGCAATTTTTAGTCCCAAAAATCTTGTATATAGCATTCAATGAACATTTGACAGTGTGAAAAAGGAAAAAAAGTTTTCGTATTTATTGGACAATTTCTAATTTGGATCTAATTTGCCTTAAAGTTGCACACCGCATCATTTTCAACAGTTTATTCGAATTACGCCTAGCTTGCAAAATTGTCCAAAAGAGTTTGAAATATCAATGTGAAGCAAAATCTTGCAAATAAATTTTGACAGTAATATCTAAAACATTATAAATTCTACAGTGAATCACGCTAAATATCATAATCACGTAGCATCCGGATCTAATCACAATTTCCGTGTCCTCTCAACGATATTTTTGAAGATGTGCAACGTACCTTGCACTTGTATGAATGCGCACACCAGCATCAAAAGCACGCAGCAGACAAGACCCTTCATCTTGCTTTCTCGCTCTTTAAAAGACACCGGGAAGAAGAAATGATAATCAATTAAAATTCTCGTCCGGCTTTTATATACTCGCATCTCTCCCTTCTCCGAGGTGTCCTTCTCCGTGACCTTTAGAAACGTTTTATCTCCCATTGGACGTTATTGCATAATGACGTAAAGCGACACAATATCATTAGTGGATATAAATAGTAGAAGCAAAAGAAAAAAATATAAAATTAACATTAAGTTTGTGTTAATTATTCAAATTACGAATTTTATTATTTTTTCTCATCATCGTGCTTACCTATCGCATCTCTTGCTTCTCCCATCTCGTTTCATACTTTATTATGTACTTAGTCATCAATTGTCAGCTTGCCGCTCTCGTCAGTATCAGTGTTTGTTGTTAACATTCTGCTACTCTATGTATGTTAGAATGTGCTGACGAAAGATCTTTTTTCGATTTTTGCTCGTCTCGAAACTCGAAGAATTATTCAAAAGAATAACCATAAGCATAATGATGATAATATATTATTGTGACTTTTAGTTTACGTTCTTCAGATAAAGTTCTTTTGTCGCGGAGAGTTAATAGTAAGATATTTTTTATTTTTACATTGTACATTTCAGATGAAATGACGTGCTAATTTAGACTGTGATTAGACTTGGAAACTTTAGAAAGTTTTTATTTTAAACCGATAACGCAAGCAAGCATAATATTCTATGCTTATTGAAAAATAGAAAAAATAAACAACGAGAAAAAAACAATATCTTATATTTTAATAGTTTATTACAAAAGTTAAAATTGATAATTATCAAATATTAATATATCAGCGTCTATTTTTATCTTTGACTCTTTAATCTTCTCGAAAGAACAACATGAGAAATCGAAGTAATTTATAAACACAGCACGCACGAGTGCTCAGTGGGCTTACGTCAAGAAATATATAGAATTACGATTTATCGCGCGAGATAAAACCGTTTTGATAGAAGTTGCAATCGGCAATAAGTCATTTATCTCAACGCTCCCTGGAGTTTGAACAAACTTTCGAGCAAAAATGAATTTTTATTAGCACGAGTACTTTAACTTTATCAACAGAGACATATGGATCTAATTGACTTACAGGTTGCACTAATACTGTTGCACTTTTATATAACATAAGATATCACTAATGTACAAAGTTTTGCATTACGCCAAAAGAATTTAGCTGAAGCTAACGGAGTAATAAAAATTACTTAATCATTACGATTTCTTTTCAGCGAACGGGAGATAATGTCCTCGACGAGGCTCAGATCCGGAGACGAAGAGATCTATCGCGAGCGTGTCACCAGCGACAGCCTATTTGTGGCGCGAACGAACCAGCCCGTCGACGCCAGCTCGGCGAACGCCAACGACAACACTCAGCAGCAACCGTCGCGGCAGGAACAGGATATCTTCTCGCCAGCGCAACAGGACTCTGTGTTCGAGAACGACGATCTATTCGGGCCGCCGCCGTTACCTAGCAAGTCGGACTCGAAACGTGCGGCCAAGTCGAAGGTCTCGTCGCTCTTCGACGATTCCGATTCCGGCGACGAGCTCTTCTCCGCCGCGAGTTCCGGCTCCCGGTCGCAAAAGAGCACGGATTTCCTCGGCGCCGCGGCGCCGTCCAACGACAGGGCGAAGCCGCTTCCAAGAAGTGGCGGTTTATTCGACGACGACGTAGACATATTCGGCGGCAAGGACGCCCCGGACGTCGACATATTCGGTGTGACGTCGAAATCGAAGACGAGGGACGTGGTCTCGGATGATTTATTCGACAGTCGCGGCCAGGACTCGATAGCGGCGAAGAACAGCAACGCCGGTAAGTGCGACATGTACCTTTGCAAGAATTTTATTTTAATTTAATTTTAATTGGAGAACGTTAAAAGTAAAGAACTATGTTATTTTATTCGGAGAATAAAAAACATAAATTTCTGCGGGTTTTTATGTAAAGTGTTTTTATTTTAAATGTGTGATTTATCACGAATATTTCTTACTATATGAGAAGCTCGTTGTACAAGGGAAATGTTCAAATTGTTAGATAAATTGCCACCGACGAGAATGGAGTCAAAGAAGATCAGCTTGTTCGATGACGGCGACGGCGACGGCGACGACGGCGATCTGTTCGCCGTGAAGCCGACGAAGTCCAAGAATGAGCGCAAGACTGAGCTTTTCGAAGACGATCTGTTTCTATCAACCGAGGCAAGCAGTAAAGAACGCTCTTCGTTAGGGAAAGACGCAGCAGTTGAACCAAAGATCGACGTTTCAAAGAACGTTTCTAGTCTCGAAGCTAAAAAGATGGACAAGGATTTTTCGCAAGGCGAGCTATTCTCGAAAACTACAAAAACTCGCAGCCTGTTCGAGGAGGACGACGATTACGATGATCTATTTGGCACAAAAGATGCAGTACAGCGCAATAATGATCGTTTAAAATCTGAATCCAAAGAAGAAATTGACAAAAAGGTTATCGATCGAGTACAGAAACTTCCCGAAAGAGATAAAGACTCATTGGAGTCTTCGAGTTCAAATCTTGACGCAAAAACGACGACAGACTCGAGCGTCGTCGTCGAGAAAAGTGTAAATGAAGAGAGGAGTAAAGCTGAACTCGAAGAAACGTTCCCTAAAGAGGATAGTACAACAAAGAGAAACTCGCCGCCGAAGACGTTGAACATTCGGACAATCCCCTCACCGCCGTCTGAGGACCAGAACAACCAGCAAGCACCGCGAAAATTGGTGTCCGGTAAAATAAAGAATCTGATGGGGAAGATGGGTGACTTAAAAATACTCTCGCCGATGGACGCGCCGCCGTTGTGGAGAAAAAGCGAGGAAAAGCCGGACGAAGACGAGGACATCGTGGACAAGGACGGTGATCTGAGCATCGCTGGACGCGTTTCGCCTCCAAGCGTATCGGGTAATTATCGTTTAGCAGGACTTTCTGTTATCTTATCTTTTTTGGTCTCCAATTTTTATTGCAAATAGAAAGAAATCTTATATTTAAGCGCAAGAATAGATTCGTAGAAATAATATTTATAAGAATAATATACATTGGAATTATTATTTTCTATTTTTCTTCAAAATATATTGTAACTGCAAAATTGTCAGGACCAAGAAGCTAAATTTTAGGTGCTAATTTAATTTTAAACTTTTATGTATTTATATATAAACATAATTTTTTTCTATATTTAGATAAAGATAAAATAATTTTAATAAAAATTTTCTTTACAGAGGGTAGCGCGCGAAAAGAGTCCTCGTACTCGACGATCTCTTCTACTAGTAACACAGAAGTGGCCATAAACTTCGACGATCTTGCTCAAGTAGAAACGTTATCAACTACCGCGTCAAAGGTGATTTATCAAACTCAATAAAAACAGAGTTACTTATTTTATTAACTTACAGCTAATATTTCGCAAAATTTCTCGAAGCACGAATAAGGTGTCAAAAAGAAACGTAGCTTTTAATATAAAATATCCGTCAGACGAAAATATATTTCTTTGCAATAATCTATTTCTTTAATTATTTCAAAATATTCTAATTGATTCGAGATTTTTAAATAATTCGTATCTTTTTTTTCATTACTGTTATCTTGAATTTTTCAGAGTCGAGTAAGGATTCAAGCGAAACGTCGCCCTCCGAGTCGTCACGCTCGGAAGTCTGCGCTGCGGCACAGCGGCATTGACTTCGACACGGTTGATAACGCAGACAACGATAATTCCCAGGAAGAGAGTCACACCAGCACCTTCTCGTCTACCAAAGACTTGTCCGCCGCTCCGACAAACAACGCTACCGATCACTTGACTGTCCACGACAACGCTCAGCGCCCTATCGAGCCTTCTTCCATGGATGACAGATCTGAGCTAGGTAGCATCAGCAAGGAGAGCTCGATGAGCGTAAACAAGAACACTTTGCTGTCACCGTCGACCGACGAGGAGGATCTTTTTGACGTGCCGCCAGACTTGCCGGAAGATCCGCAGAAGGAGGACGCGTTGTTCGGTAGGGCGCCGATACTTTCGCCGGTCGACAGCGGGCGATCCGACAAAATGTCCGTCGCCGTTGAACCTTTGATTGAGACTGTGATTAGAAAGATCGATGACAACGACATTACGAGTAACAAAGGCGATAAACAAGATTCCGACGAGTTGACGCAATCAGATGCACACGGTAAGTCGGAAAGTAAAAAGAGAGATGATAAGCATAAGGAAATAGATGATGAACTGAGTGAAGCGAAAATAGAGTCCAGTGAAGAGCCGTGCGATCCTCTACGCGACAGTAGCCATGATCCGTTGAAAGATCCTAGTCAGTTGTTCGCGTTCGTTACGAAGACACCGTCACCTGAGAAAAGCAAAGGCTTGTTGTTCACCGAGCCCGACGACAGTCTGTTCTCTAGCGGCCCGGCGAGGAAGCCGAGCGTGCTGAAGAAGAAAGAGATACTGGACTTGTTCGCGGACGACGACACAGGCGGCGATCTGTTCTCTGCCGCACCGTTGAAGAGAACGGTGAAGAAACCACTGCGAGAAACGAAGATCGATCTGTTCGGCGATGATAACGCGCAGAACGACGAGGACGATAGTTTGTTCGGCAGCGTGTCTAGCAAGATGAAGCTGGATAATCAAAAGTCAAATCCCGCTCAAGTTGTACGAAAGAAGAACCTCTTCGACGACGACGACGACGATGATTCCAGTCTGTTCATCGAGTCGTCCGGGCAATCGCAGAAGTCAGACAGCGCGTCGTTTTCAGAATCCAAGCCCGATCTACCCGATTCTCAAACTAAAAGCACATCGAATCTCAAAGATATTTTCGGCGACGCGCCATGCGACGACGACGACGACGTTGATCTTTTTGCCACGAAGAAAGTTGTTCCTAAGAAAGTCATTGCATCGTCCAAGTCTCTGTTTGCATCGGACGACGACGACGACGACGACGACAGCCATATCTTCGGCAAACAGTCATCCGCGTCGATCGATTCGAAGGCGCGGTTGATTGCGACGAATTCGAGACCAGCCATGAAGAAATCGGTCACCAGGGACCTGAAGAAAACGGCCGAGAAGATCGTCGAGGATCCATTAAGTCTTCTTCAAGACGATTAAGTTTGTTTCCTCGATACAAATACCGATGAGATTTCTCTCAGCCACAAAAGTTTATGCACATTTCTGCAATGTAATACAGCAGACTGATAAATTAACTCGGACGACTTGGGTTCGTTGTGACCCATATCGATTGCATTTATTCGATTAAATTTGTAAAACTTAATTGACACATTAAAATATAATTATTATCAATTTTTGTATGAGAGCAATTGGAAATTATATACGCGTATATGTTGCCAAATAATTTATATCTTTGAATTGTGATATTTTGTTTCTAGTATTTTTGTTTATTATTCTAATAGTGCATAATTTTAGAGAGAATTAAAAATTCTAAGAAATTATTCTAAATGCATTAGTCATAGACTTTTGTGGCTCAATTAGTCATATATATATTTATGTGTATATATATATATATTTTTTATTTATATTTTATTACGTCACAGTCACTTGCCTATAGTATAAAAAAACTTTGCATGTTGATGGAGAGTGGACAGCGTGTAATTTGCAAACATCGGAGAGTTTTATTTCTCATTCGTAGCTGTGTCACTCGTATAGTTATATATTTTCCGTATGATTGTTTCCTTCAATTTTCGCGTGCAAATTTCGTCTCGTGCTTGTGATTTATGTCGTATATATTATCCTAATGTTAATTAAAGATTAGTACAATAAAATTTATTCAATTTCATGCAATACGATGTAAATGATCTTATCTTAATTTTCGATAATATCGATCCGCAATATCATCGAATCTTTATAAGTACAACTTTATAAAAAATTTATGAAAATAAATGAAATATTAACATCATAAAATTATTCCTGATTATTAAAATAATTATTTAACTGAGAAATTAATATTACATAAATGTTTAAAATTTTTATCTTTCCTTTCTTTTTTTAAATCAAACTAAAATTGATAATTTATTTTCAACATCATATTACGATGCTGAATAAAATCGCTACTAAAATAAATCGCATTGGAAGGCAAAGTGTCAAAGAAACTTCATTCTTCTTTAATTTTTTCGAACGATTTATAAGATTCTTTTAGGAAAAAGAGTCATATATTTTACAATAAAAATTTGATCGATTACAAATTTTCGAAAAAGAAATTACTTAATTACAGCCATAGCCAAGACGGTCGTCCCTCGATAAGGAGATCGTGAAATTTGTGCTAACGCGAGGATAATCAATCGTCTTTAGCCTTAGCATAATCGAGAAGATCGCAAGCTGGATTTTAAAAAACATCAAAAGAGAGTGCTCACTTATATTATTACGAAAAAATGATAAAAATACTCTATATATCACATAAGGTGCAAAAAATAAATAAAATCCAGCATCGATAAACCCGCATTTTGTTGTTTTTTTTTTCACCGAGGTACTGCGCATATAATTTCACATAGAAAATAGTTCCCATGAGAAAATGTAACAAAAGTTAACACAATATGTTACAGTAGTACATACAACGTTAATTACAGGAGTGATGTACACAGCTATAACAAGCGCCGGACTAGATTTCTAATTACGGAGTGGATCTCCGTTCCGTAATCGATCCGCTAAATCCCTAGTATACAAAATATCGCCTTTTATCCATCTATCGCACACGCAATGCAATCTACATGTCGATCACTTTAAGTGTTACGACACGTGCAAATACGCAGTATATAAAATATCTTTCCGCCGAATATCTTTGTCATACACATTCGTTCAAACATCCACGTTAATTTACTGGTCCATGAATACATAAAATAGATTTATGACATGCAGTACGGATTTCGGTTATACAACTCTGATTGTGAGTTTTTTAGTTACATGATTAACATAGCGAGGTCTGACCGAGCTTCTCTCACATGGACCATTATTTTTTTAAAAACACATGATGTGCAATCCTAAATTTGTCTAATTACTACGTTCGACGGTTAAGCTCCATTTATTAAAAATTTATTTATATAAATTAAAGACCAAATTTATTACAGATTTAAAAATTAGCCACAAAACTCTTTAAATTTCTTAATAAGAAACTACTTTAATTATTAAGTAAAAAGATAACTAGAATTTGAGATCAAATTTGAGATCAAATTTTATCAAATGTAATAGAAAGGAAGACAACGCGGAAAAATCTGTTACTATTACACGTGTAATGCAATATAACTTTATAAACTTTAAAGCAGGATTTTTGACAAATAAAAATTTATGAAACATCGATAAATGGAGCGTTGTCAAGCACGAGAAAAAATATACTGCTCTGTCACATGAATGTTTAAAAATACGAATTATGATTGCCGAAAAAGCGTGAAAAAGAATATTTATAGATGAAAAAAAAATATATATATATAATGAATTTAAATATAGAGAACCTTATTCCCTAGTTTTATATAATACTCTATGTATATATAGTTAAAAATATTTTTCAGAGATATAAAAAGACAGAATACACAAGGGTCGTTCTAAAAATAAGAAAAATTACAGAAATGCTTATTCTACAAAAAATATGAAAAAAATATAGAAATAATTTTTTAATAACATTTACCTTTCCACATAATTGTCGTATCTTATTTATTGGACGACTCTCGTACAAAACGTGGTAGTCGTAGTGATATACTCCAAATATGAAACTGAGTTATGTAATGACGATGAATGACCTCTTCTTTGCTCACTTATGATTCCTATAAGCGGCGCGTAATTATACTCAAATAAATTGTACAATTTATCAATTTTAGCGACTACCTGACAAGCAAAGTCAGTCGTAAATGTATCAAATGTTAAAGTTTTTAGTAATTGTCCCAATGAAAGATATATATCCTTAATAGAACTTTGTGAAAAATTGTATTTTTTATTATCAACTATAATCGAAGCAATTAATTAAGCAAAATATATTTAATTACAATTGAATTCTTAATAGATTTACAGCGAACTACAGCATTAACAATACCAATTTAATTTTAGAACTTAATGTAATTATTACTGAAAAAATTACAAAATTATAAAATGGAATAAAGAATGCTATAAACAAAACCCATTATCGATATACACTTTTTTGGGACGCTCAATAATTCATCTTGATTTTCCACATAAAAACACAAATAGAAATAAAATTAATCGCACTGATTACATAATTTAATCTTGTAGATACAAAAAGATGTGCGTATTAATTAATAACTACACGAATATATTAATTGTTTAATGATCATTTAAGATCAGAAAAAATCGCTATAATCTAATTGTAATTTGAAAAAAAAGGAAAGGAACATGACTGTACAATTTAATTTGAGTCGCATATAAGTGCGAGAGCGACTGTTTGATAAACAGCGTTCTGTGTGTGGGTGGACCATGGATAGAGAAATATTTTTGATCATATACATATTTCAAAATATTTCTCAAATTATCGTCGATTTTCTATGTTTCTTTAAAAACTTTATGCTAATTCTTTTACACATGTGACAATTTTATAGTTTTTTTAAATCTTTTCTAGTTTCTCCTTGAAATAATATATTATATAAATATATTACATAAATATATTATATAAATTCTAAGCCAATATTTTATTATAGAGCCCATTAGGTCCATTTTGGAGAATACTTTGATGGTAAAATATAACATTCGTAACAATGATTATTTAAGACATCTTTAAGACGTCTTTTTTAAGATATTTTTAAGATGTCTTTTTTAGGACGTCGTTAAAAGAGGAATAAAAGAAATATAAACATTTAAGAAGAAAGAGCATCGAAAATTGTAATAAAAAATGGATTACGCCAAAAATTACGCTATTAAAAAAGTATTATCTCCCCATATCATGTACATTCACTTCGATTCTCTGCTTGATTTGTACAAAATCAATTATAAATCTGTAGAAATCTCTCTTGGTCATTCATATATAATTACAACGTACAAACGAGTACTACGGACGGTATTAAAAACAGTGTATTTGATTTTCTATTTGTATGTATGTATATGTGTGTGTGTGTGTGTGTTTGTATATCGAGAGCATATCGCTTCTTTTGTACTATAAATTTATCTTCACTACAAAGAAAACCAGTCATCATTCCTACTTGCATTAATATTACAATTGCATGTATTATGTATTCTACGAGATATTTTCCAAAATTGTGTCGCATGTTTTTTTTTTTTTCAATTGAGAGTTGTTCGATGAAGAACATTTGATAGTGCTAAGACACCTTGTACCTAATACAAATGCAATCATTTAATGGAAATTTTATAGACATTTAATTTCGCATGTGTTTTACTTCGCGTTGAAAAATTTAGAAAATATATTTAAACTCGCTGCTTGGCTAAGGCAACTTGATAAACCTTTATGATTTTTGTATCTGGACTATAAACTTTCCCCGGCGACTCCACCAGTTATTGGTATCAACGACGCGTTTATTATATATTTGTAATCAACCATAATCATTTTCTTTTTTTCTTTTTTAGATAATTCATTCTTTCGAAAGATCTTGAGAATTTTGAGATTCTTGAGAAAGATCCAAAAACATTGGAACTCGTGTATCTCACACTCAGTGCACTTCATTCATTATTTATGTACCGATTCGTTTTCCTCCGATAAGAACGTTCGATTAACTGGAGAATTTATTCCGATTCTCATTTCATCGGAATTCGATTGACGATGCTGCGCATTAAGAGAAATCTAACTTTTATCGGTTTTTCATCAACTGGACAAAATTCATAAAATAAATTTGTGAAACAATTTTTGTGATTACAAAACTATTAAAATTGTAATTGTTTTATCCATTTTGTATAATCAAAATTGTTTCAATTTTAAATTCAAGATTTAATCTTAGTTTTTTATTGAGAATAAAAAGTAATTAAATTATAAATAAAAGTATTAAAAATTGATATTTTATTAATACTTAATATATATATTAAATGTAACGTGCTACATTCTTTTTAAATTAAACTTTCAAATTGAATCAATTTCTCATCACAGAAAACTATCAAAAATTATCAATACTGAGACTACATATGTGAGGCAAAAATTAAATTTCTCGGCAGCTTTATTCATTTCGAAAGCGAAATGTATATTTAAGTAGATACGGAACAGAATATAATATCTAATTTAAAAATTAATAAAATAATGGATTTGTTTGAAAGAAATACAAACGAAGCAAACATTGACTTCGGTACTGTTTTCGGCACATCTACGGCGGATTAATTGCAATTCCTATGAGCGCTGGCAAGGTATAGTCTGGGACGATAATGAAGGTGGCAGGGGCGCGTTCTCCTCGTGAATCATCACGAGCTTACTATATTTCAACATTCTTCTTTTCTGCTTGTCCTGTAAGCAAATGAAATAAATCAGCAGTAAAGCAGTAAAATATTTTGACGATTTTTAATCGATTTCACTTTCATTTTCTTCTGACCTGCGATTCTATCCAACTACCACTACTGCTTCCGCTGTCGCTTCCGCTTGATGTGATACCCTCTTCAAGGACAAGTCCCGTGCCGAAACCCTCCAGCTCCAGGTCCAGATATAGTTGTCTCAGCTGATCGTTCACCAGATGTGACTGGTTCAAGTTCTTCATCGCGTCCATGTCAGATTTCAGCACCTCGTTCAACGGCTTCGGATGCATCTGATACTCGTAGATCAGTTCCGGCGTCAGTTGAACGCCCTCCAGCCAGGGCGGGTCCTTTCTCCGCTTTCCTTGATGGCACTTGGCATGCTCCTGCGCATTTATTACGTTTTTATAATTTACTGCAGGAATGCGGAGACGATAGTGAAGAGGTTTAAGAATTCAAAAACATACAAAAGATTGGGACGTCCCAGGAACGTCCTTTGGACATTGCGCTGTTTGATTCTCCACTTCGGAGGCCTCGCATGTTTTCTGATCCGGATTGCAACTACTGTCGCTACTCTTGTATAAAAAGCTGCTGTAAAAGCTGGACGAGCTCGACTCGTCCCCGTTGTAGTCGGTCGGCCGACGGTGTTCCTTCATCGTTACCGGAGTCAGGAGATCTATTACGCTTGAGCAGCCGCCGTCGCACGACGAAAAGAGCTCGCCCGGAGATAAAACCTGGCGGAAATTTATTTGCGAATGAATAACATAACATTTCCGCTGTTTTCCACGATGAATAAAACTAAAGGCGATAAAGAATTAAAAAATAATTATTTATCGATCATTTTTTTACTTTTTTGGAGGACTCGGACATGGCCATTATGCTGCCGGGTTCGGCTTTCACGCTGGTCGCCTGACTGGCCGGTCGTGACACAGCACGATCCGGACACTTGTCGTTGGACGGCTGCTGGTTCTCGCGCGCCGTTGCTGCTGGCACCTGCTCGGGTATTAAAAAGGGTCGATACATCATTGTAGGCGGCGACGGCGTGTTGATCATCGCCGGATAGATCACTCCGCCCATCGCTGTCGCGACGTAGGACACTGGAACAAATACTAAATTCTTTTATAACCCTCTATGCAAATTCTACTTTTTAATATTTAACCCTTTTATTCAGTTTCAGTTTTTTTTATTTAATTGCAACATTGATAGACTTTTAAACAAATTTTAAAAAGCTTTCTCTTCTACATACAGAGTTATGAATAAGAGAAATTTATTTACAATTATTAGATGCTTACTGTAAGGATTCTGTTGCGTCGGCTGCGTCGACGGCGATGGGTTCAGCTTTTCTTGGGACGACATCGTCGTCGCGGACTCGTTGGGCTGCGATACCGACACATAATATGCTGGTATGACCGACGGGAACAAAGGGAATCTGGGTATAATCTCCGAATTGGCACTAAAATGTGCAAATATGCATTCAACAACAATCCATCTCTGCAGTTTGTCATATTTTTTTTACATTTTTCCTAATATTTTGTAGAATATTACGAATATATTCTACAAAATATTCTATATTATTATTCTTGTGAGAAGGAGAAGAAGGTATCTTACTTGTGGGACGAAACGCAGGGTTGCGCAGGTGCGAAAAAGGGCACGGTGACCGACAGTGGCGGCCATAGATTAATATTCGGCCCCGTCTGCACCACGGTCGATTGATCGAGACTCATGCTAGTGACGGTGGTCGTGAGATTCGCTGGACCCGCTGTGCTTGTCCGCGAGATGTTATCGTGCTTCGATATCTATTTTCGCCACATTTAGACTTGTTGAAATTTCATTTCGATATTTTTGTAATGCATTTTAGAAATTAATCAAATGAACTAAAGAAATAATATTTTCAAAGAGATTAAGTTTCTTTTTTTTTTTTTTTTAATTTTTGATAAAATTTGCCTCCGCCAGGCTATCTTGAAACTAAAAGCACACCTTGAAGCTGTCGCCTTCCCAGCTGTGACTGCCGCTTCTCTTGATTCCGTGACCCTGATTGACGTAATGAGTGCTCTGGTCTGTGCCGTTGGTCTTCTCCGTCTTGATCCGCGAGTCCTTCAGTTTGTCGCTGTTCTTGATGCTGCAGCGCAGCTCCCGGTGCTTCTGCATCATTAATTTTTCCATGTCCTCGTTGTGACGACTCAGAAGCGACTCCGTCAACGTAGGCTGCTTGAAGCTCTCTGTCGCGGTGGTGGTGTTGCTGTTGCTGGCGGTGTTAGAGACATCGCCGCGGCTAGCAGAGCTGGTCTGATTGTTGGAGCCGCTGCTCAGGTTCTCCGCACTACCGCTGCCGCTCGCACCGCTGCCGTTTACCGGCGACATGCACTTCCTCGCTAAAAAAAGTACGACAGATTCGATGTAAAATACAGTCAAAGAAAGAGTTTCTAATAAGATAATATAATTATTGAAGAATATATTTAAACAAAAAATTTAGCATGCTCTTTTTTCCATACAGTTTGACAAACTTGTGATTCGAAGGCATTAGAGAATGCCAAAGGATCGCGCTTACCGCCTTCCTCGTTGCTGGAAATGACGTTCTCCTCGTCGCTGCCGTACATGGTGGCGACCGGCGGCTTGCTCTTGAAGAAGCGCTCGATGTTCGCGTTGTAGTTGAGCTGGTTGTAGCTCGGCGGTGTCTCCGTGGAGGACTTGCTGTCGTAGTACTCGTGATGGGGCGAGATCTCACCGAGCATCACGCTGTCGTGTTCCTGTAACAAGGGATTGCGTGATCCCTTCACAAGTATATTGTAGAAACTTAGAATGAGTTGTCACTTAGTGAATCGGTACGCATCTTAACGCCGGTTATCGTAGTCAGTAGTGTTTTTTTTTTTTTTTGTCATGAACGATGAGTGAGAGTGCATTGGCAGCCGTGGCGAAGATCAGTCCCGGTTAGAGAGACAGAAAATTTCGCTAGAAACTGAAGAAAACCCACGCCCCTTCTTTCTACACGTTAAACCATCTATATTACGACCGTTCATTTGCAAGCTCTTGCGAAGCAAGCTCTTGTGGGAAACGCGCTCCGTCTCCTGCGGATATACGCATTATTTACAGCGAAGAGATAGTTAATCGATCGATCGATCATGCGAGCACCTCTCACCGTCCGGATCACAATATCCTTCGTCGTGTCGAAGTCTGAACTGTCATCGAAATAACGCCGGTGGCTTTCGATCCCTGTTTTTTTCTACTCCTTTCATCCGTTCTTTCCATATTCTAGCTTTCATTCCTTGATAATACTGTAAGTACGTGTCGATGACAAAAATGACAAAAATAATAAGAGGTGAATGAATTAAAAATAATAAATAAAAGAGTGTATAATGGAAATATATAAAGTGATGAGAAAATGTATTAATCTTAAAGTAAAAACTTTGATTCTTTTGAATAATGAAAAAAATATACAAAAATATTCGATAGCACCGAAATTTGAGGCTTAGTATATTTATCATCCACATATTCAATCTATTTCTCACCTTTTCTTCATATTCTCGTCCGCTCATTATCTTTCTTTGATTTCTTGGAAGTAAAACAGTTCAGAATAATTCCTCGATACTTTATAGCCGATACAAATTATTGAACAAACTGATTAAATGTTTCCGAAAATCGAAGTTTTATAAAAAATTCTTTCAGAAAAAAATTTTTCACAAAGCTTTTATTTTAAGAAATATTCGATTTGTTGTTTAAAATGATCTCTCCTGCATACCAATGTCTATTTTACAAAATATTTCAAACGTTTCTAACGTTATTAATTTAATAAAGCAGATAGATTTCGGAAGATTTTAACAAAAGCAGCAAAACATGATAATCGTATGATTATCACTTTTCATCTTCGAGGTCTCACAGAGGAGTTAGCATGTTAGCATTCCACACATGCTAATCGAAAGAATATCCCAAAATTCCAGAAAGGCACATAAAGTGATACACGACCAACGCATGTATTCGAATGTGGTCCGCTGCTTGCGTGTTAAATAATATCGAGGTGAAAAAGAGGAAAAGAAGAGGACTTACCGGACAAGCAGTGCCAATAAGGCAATTCGAAACTGACGCTTATCCTTCACCGGCCCTACACAATTTTCTCATTGCCCTCCATCCGCGTCTATGTGCAACAAAGCTTGGTAGAAACTAGATTAAAGGTTTGCGCTAACTACTCGCTGCTGTTGCTCATCAGCATAGCAGCGTTTGATCAGTTAAGAAAGGAGCGGGTAATCGCGGCGGGGAATATCTTTTAGTCGAACACCAGCCCTTCGTATATTTTGCATCTTCAATTCTACTCACCTTCATCAACCCCTTTCGGCTTCACCAAACCCCCCTAAAAAAATTCCATCACGCGAAGCGTGATTTCCAGAAGCAATAAGCATCTTACTGCAGATCGATACCTGTCTTCGATATCACGAACGTCCGAGATTTCATCTTGATCGAGCTTTGCGATATGATTGATTAATAAATTATATGAAAAATTGAAAAATTAAAAAAAAATAATATATAATTTATTCAAAAAATAATTTAGAGCAAAAAAATTATATAACTTGTAGGAGATTCAATAATTTTGCAAAGTATAATTTTATCAAATTCAAAATTTTATCGCTTATTCAATGTAATTTCACTCGATCAAGGTAGTTCTCGAAGCTTTGTATGAACAATGTTATCGTTGGTAAAAACAATATAAAAATATTTTTTGACATATGAACTTTAATGCACGATTTAAAAAGTTATACGTATGTCAAATAAAAAATAGAAAAATAAATAATTTACTGAGAGTTGATACTTGACACTGCACGTGCAAATTGACTATAATATTTATTTTAGAGATTCAATCTTTTCGAGCTATCGACGAAGGCATCGCTCAATGCATTTTAATCACTTACAGTAATATTCACAGTAACAACAATTGTAAGAGGAACAACAATCGAACGACGAGTGAAAATTTCTGGTTGCTTCGCGTGAAGACGCGTGTTACCATAGAGTCTTATTGATTAGCTCTCCTACAGCTGTTTAATTGAGCTTTCTAATTCTACCAATACCATGCGTTCGTCGTACGGATCAGCAGAGAAAAAAGAACCGATTAAGAGCAAAATGGAATTACAGTGCGCGTTATTAGCGCAATATCTTTTTTCTTTTTCTCACATAAGAAGCTTTCTTTTTTCTCATTTGTCCATATCGCTACGATTACATTTTCGGTCGTTTTTGCTTTCGAGCGGAAAAGAGAGAACATGTTCCCCGGCAATGTGTGTGTCAAAAATATCAATAATTCTCCTCATGATGCAGAATCGTGCAATTTTGTATTACAGAAAAGGAAATGTCTGACATCAAAAATGCCGTGAAGATTCGAAAACCCAAATAACATAAAAGTCCGAAAAACAGAATCTCAGCAAGAGCAACTTCTTTCTCAAACATCTGAAAAGTAATGATAATCCACCTAGAAATAAAAGTGCTTTCATTTTCTTTATCCATTAACGAGCTTTAGGAGCGCTTTTTTCTTTTTGCCATTATCGCGCGTTTCCTCGATTCGGCGAAAGCAAAAATGAATTACCGGAGAAAATATATCGTGCACCGACGAGAGATAAGATTAGGCGACTATAAGTCACATATATGCACGTCACATATATCATCCACGTCGCAAGTAGAAACGTGGTCGACTTGCATTATTATATACAAGTATAAGTATCTACTATACAAAGAGATATACTAGCTTTACGTAGCATACCAGAATGGAGCGCATCATAAGCGGTAATTAGCGTTACAGTGTATCTCGGCGATACTAAAACGTAGCTTATAATAGTCACCGAAAAGCTCTTGAGCTCGTCCGCCGCGACCAGTCCGTCCTTGCTGACGCCGGGCGCCTTCATCTCCTGCAGCAGACTTTCCATGAAGGACGCTAGATCCTTACATCGCTTTGACACATCGAGTTTCGTTATATCTGACGTTCTTTGGATGCTCTGCGCACACGTACGATAGAAAAGAAAGAGAACAAGTTGGGGGATGATAAGTTCATTTTTACGCCACGCTCGCGATCAGAGATTTTTCTTTTTCTTTTTTTTTCTTTTTTAAATTCGTATATGTGATTGTTTTACAGGGATACATAAGTATGTATTACGAAGTCGTAATACTCAAGTGCGTCTTTTTCGTGCGACAGAATTCAGAAATAATATCAAAACGTGATAACAAAGGCACAGTCTCTTATTTTTTTTCTACAGGGGAGTACAAAAATAACGTAAGAGTAATATTTAAAAGGATGCGAAATATCGTGGGCACAAAGGTGGAGGGGGGGATCATACCTCGTCGAGAAGCGCACGTATCTCGCTCTGAATGATCTTGGCTTCCTTCAGCACTTCCTCGCTGATGCTGGCCGGGTAGCCGCATTCGGTGTTGCGCGGCACGCGAAAGATGTCTGGGTCCATCGGTCCCTTGAGTACTCGGTGCTGACCTACGACAAACTCTAGTTTTTTCGTCCACGGATTGATAAAGGACGACCACTTGGTCTCGAGGATGACGTAGCCTCCGTTCTGCACGGCGAACCTGTATGGCTTCGACCTGAAGGAGGAACCTTCGAGCCTGACCACCTGTTCAACGACATTTCGCAAGAAATTATATGTGAGCAATTTGCGACCGGTGACACTTTCTTTCGCTCCTATCTCTCTCTATCTCTTTTCGTTAGAATCACGCACTCGCTCTCTCACACTCTCTCATTCTCTCTCTCTGTACCTCTTTTTCTCTCATAAAAAGCACACGACCGAAACTTAAATTTCTTTTCTCTCTTTTTTTTTTCAGTTTTTGTGGTTGGGCTCATGCTCACAGTCTCATAGATGTCTTTGATGAAGGGCAGATCCTCGGGATGGTAGAAGTCAAACAGCGAACGACCAACCATATCCTGTGGTAGATAGCCGGAGTATTGGACTACATCGGGATCGACATGGGATAGGTGGCACGTCGCGGTGTGGCGGGTCGTGAATACCGAAGATATTATTGTTTCTTCTGGCGCTGCGGATAACGACAAGGTCGGGATCATTCTCTTTCGTCGCGGGGTCATCACCTTGGTAAGTGAGACTTCTTAGGTATATTACGATTAAACGCCGACAAACTGAGGCGGGGATGCGAGGAGAGAGAAATTCATCCCGATTAATTAATTTATTTTGCTTTAACGAATGGAATAATTTTTCGTCACAAATGAAGTGAGCACCTCAGCGCAAATCTTTGCGTAAGTTACAGGCGAACCTCGGAATTTCATATCTTTCATGTTTCCTTTTTTCTTTGTACTCTTGCTTTTAACAAAAATTTGGCCAATTTCGCGAATGCTATTGAAAGCTTGAAATTTTCTTAATATCTAAGAATAATAACGCAATATACTATTAAATACTTGCTGATGAAAATCGAAATTTCGTAGAATACAATGCCGCTGATAAGAAACGTCAGCAACGCTGCTAACAACACAAAGCCCACAGACTTGAATAAAAATGCAAGATCGTGTGATTCGCGTAAAACACTCGATGGCAAAAGACTTGCATAAAGAATGTTGTCGTAAATAAAAATGTTCTCATGCACACTGACAGAAAGCAAAGCGAACACCTTGCCGATGGCGAGTGCAATTTTGCTTGTAAGTACGAACATTCGTAATAGTGGTCTCCAAACTGCACGAAAAAACGGAAAATCGGTCGTAATGACAAGGAAACAGCACAACGACAATATATATATATGACAAAGATTAATAAAAAAAAAAAAAAAAACGGCATATCCACATATTGAGTCATGGCTTTGAAAAATTGGAAGTAAGTTACCTTCGTTTCAGACGTTTTCCATGGAAACCACCGATTCATTGCGAATACGAGAGGTCGGACCAACGACAAGGCTCGATTAGCGAGCAACAATAGGATACCTCGAGAACGTATAAAAGAAAATAGCTGGATAAAATTAAAGAACAGAAATAATAAGTGAAAACGAAAATTCTCTTGCAATTTTTTCCTCGCACCATTTCACTATGCAAATTCCAGTCATTCCGTCAGAATGTTATTTCGAATTTTCCACATTTTGCTCCAAGTGGTTATTATACAGAAAGGTACAATTAATTTTAACGAATCAGCAGAAAATGAAATTTACTAGCAAAGTAATTCGATTCCAAGCCATTTCGGGGATCATCGCGCCGAGTCATTTAATCGCCGACCAATAATCAAGCCGACTGTTTGTTATTGTCGAGTCCTCTCGCCGGTGGGACCTCATCAAAGACATTGGACTGTATTACCTTTGTATGCAGAATGGACGGGTTGAGCGGTCACCATGAGGAACATAGCTCGGTTGCTGGGCTGTTGCTCGGCCGTCGGATCCCGGAAGTCCCGGAACGACAGAGTCAAATGGAACGGCAGGTACAAGTTCGATCTCGCTTTCACGCATTCGTTCGGCACGTTACACCTGGTGAACCTTCGCAGACCGCAGAACAGGCTCGCCCTTCTTCCGTTAATACCTGAAAAAAAAAACAATAATCTGCTTAGCGCTCATCAAATCGCGATATAACATTTATAAATTATAAATGTCAAAATCGTAATTAAATAAAAAAAATCAAAATTTATAACTTCTTGGCTTCAATAATAATACATAATAATTAAATATACAGCAAAACATACAGCGTTTAATAATCGCAATAAAAATAACCATAAGAACTCGATATGCAGAAATATTTGCTAAAAAATATTTCACGAACAAAGAACAGTTTCATAAATTTCGCCTTCGTGATTCACCTTTGGATCGTTCTTCTTGCGGCGAAGCGATGCCGCTAATCTGATCGGCTAGAGTGATTTTATCCTTCAGATGCACGTAATCGACGAAGGATCGGCCGATCCAGGCATCCTTGGCGTAACCGAGGGCAGTACATATCGATGGGGTGGTGTACAGCACGAGACCGTCGTGCATCGAAATCACCGCGCAAAATCCCTCCTACAGAGACACCCAGCAGATTAGAGACAACAACGATCAGCTGTGAGCTAACGTCAACGTTAACGTTAACGTCAAAGTCTCAACGTAAGCGACAACATGATATTCCTGACTTTTTGCCATCCACGCGATAAAAATATAGAAATGTTGAAAAATATAACTTCACACGATAAAATATTAAAATAAAATTTTAATCGCTAAAAAAAAGTGCTTTAAACATTCAAAAACTATCGCGATTAGAAAATTTATTTTGTCACGTTGTCACTGCGTTAAGGACTTCTCTCACAGCGACGCACACGATTGCCAGTATTTTCACCATGCGTGAATTGTATTAATAAATTATCAATCGTGGAAGAGAAACATCAGTAGAAAGAGAGATACTGACAGTATCCGTGATTATGCTAATTTAGTCGGACCTGCTGCACTTTGTAGCTTCTCTCTTTTCCTCCAAAGCGTGTCCCGAATATTTACTACCGGAAATTATACTAACAAGAAAGCAAAGCCAAACCGAATAAAAAGAGAGAGAAAAACACCTAAAGTACAGTTGCATCGAAAACAATTGTCTGTCTCATCGATCTCGTCAATATGGACATAATAATAATTAATTAATTAAAGTGATTGCCAATACGTATATTGATCAAGTCAGTGAAATAATTAATTAAATTTTCTACTATTCACGGTTCAAAAATGTTAACGATTAAGTCTTAATCAACAGAAGCAAATAATTAATATCGTACTGATATTCTGAATTTATAATCTGGATTTAAAAATTATAAATTGGGAGAAATAATGTTTAATTAACGCGCTATTTCGAAACTGCTGATGATGTTACGCTAATCAACCGGATCAACGTTTCGATGCAACGGCCTTTCAATCGCCCATTCAGTTAATTTTACCAAAGCCTCTAAAGCCTTTTTTAAAGCTTGTATTAGTCAAGTTTGATCCTCGCGATTTTTACTTTCTCGCGACAATACAATAAAGAAAAATCATACGATGTCCAATCTCACGGGGTGAAGCGTTTCGCCAATAGTTGTACGGAGATCCTCCTGCAATCAGCCAACTTTCTCCATACGTGAGAGAGTCGCTGAGAAATGTACACCAAAGAAGATACACCGAAACAAAAAGGATACATTACGCGACGAATTATAGAAAATAAATTTCACAAAAAAAATAGAAAATATTTAGAAAACCCAGAATTTTTTCTCTCTCGGTGTACTTTAACCCCGCCGCAGGATCGCCACCATAATCCGCATAACTATGACGTCCAACGAGTTACAGGAAGCGACGGGTTATACGAGAAGACAGCCCTCCCCCGTTCTCGCATATGCCGCGAGAAGCTGTCTCTACGGTCCGTGATGCGAATCTGCCCCGAGAGATTCTCTGTCCCCGTTCCTTTTTTTTTTTTAACTCTTTCGGCATGTCTCCCTCTACTACGCTTACTGACGTATACTAACATTGGCCTGAGACGTGGAATCGTCCAGAGGGATCGTCCGTGAAGCAAGTCCTGCTTCCGGATCTGCGACGGTGTCGCCGTTGTGCTCGCCGGGATCCGTTGCGTCCACCAATTCTACAGTGGCTACCTCTTCATTACGCCAAAAGAAATTCTCGCCGTTATGCGCTGATCCCCGGGTCATCTGCCCGAGTAGCTGATGGCTAGGGGATTATGAAGAAGGACGGGGGAGAGTGAGGAACGATGAGAGCCCAAGTGGCATGGTAAATGCATTAAATTATAAAAAATTTAGTTAACTATTTTTAACTTAGATCATACAATATTTCGTTCGCCCAGATGAAACCTGGAGTCAATAATCTGCAATTTTTTAGCAAAATAACAGAAAAAATGCGATAAATTACTACCAATTCAGTACCAATACTGAAAAAAAAAAGATTTTTGAAATAAAGAATAAAGTAAGACATAATCATGTACAAAAGATACATTTTCTGTCTCTAATTATCTCTTTTAATAGAAATTATAGTCAGCTGAAGCAATAAAATTTGCGAATAGATCGTAGTGGAAATCGCAATAAAGCAAGCCCTGCCACGTGAGCAAGCGTAGGAGGTCGCGAGAAGGAAAAGGGTTCCCTTAGTCCAAAGTGATGCGGAAACGCGTAACTGCGCGGTAACTCGTACTTCGCATAAAATCGCGTTACGCAAAGTTCAATTATTATCCGATGGTGCATTACGATCTTTACTGGCATTTCCTGGTGAAAGGCATTCTCTTACGCTATTCTCGTAAACGCGTGGGACGTGCAGGCGTATCACAGGCGATACGACGACATTTAAGTGAAAGCGTTGCTAATGTTGTGTCAACATACCCCTTTCTCCGCTGAAATTATTTTTCAAAATATATATCTCTAACATTATTCCTGCAGATTCCTATCATACTATTCTTGCTCTATTCCATTAAAAATGGAATAAAAAGTCGGATTTTTGTAGAAAAATTTGATAAAAAATTATCACGCGTTGTGCAAGTTTCTTATTTTTCAAATTAAATTCTATACTACTGTAGTACAATATACAAAATTCTCTATTATTCACTTTGTTAACGAAGAGCAACTATTATGGATGAAAAAGTGAAATAAACGTAAATGCTTACGCAAACAGAAAAGAATAGCAAACAGCACGAGGGAGGAGGATTTCGTAACGCCCGCTCCAATTAACGCTCATTGTCGGATTGTCATTAACTTGTTAAAAATACGGCACTCTTCAGCAACGGCGAACGGATTACTCCAATTACGCGGATTTGATATCGTGTTTCACGAACAAAGACGGAAACAAAGATCAAATATCGAAGTTTTATAGATATCTATTTTGAAAAAACATCCGAGAAAAAAGGAATCCGCGTCGTAACGTAAGCCTCGTGTTCTAAACGTGATTAACAGTGTATTTGTTCGGCTTCGTTGCTTGTTTATCGATCCGTATTAGTTTCGCAATAATTTATATAACGCGTGTTAAAATCTGAACACGTTGCCATCCCTGGAAAAAAAAATGCCGCACGTGTACAATACTTGGAAATTTTTCAAATGAAAAAATATTTCACAGAAATTTATTAAATATTTCAAATTCTATAGCACCTACTTATTTCTTGCTCGCTTTGTAATTTTTTATTTCATTTCAATTATCGCGCGCCACGCAATGCAATTATAATTACTTTATATTAAAAACATAAATGGATCACGTTCTGCAAAAGTTAAAGAAAAATTAAAGGCGATCGACAAGCTCGATAAATCAACAGGTGTCTTAAATCCGTCGTTAATACCGTCGAAAAGATCGAAAGCTTCGTATAATCGACTGTTGGATGCTGAAGAGCGCGGACTGTTGGAAAATTATACACGAGCGAATCTCTCGCCCACACGTGTCACAGTTTCCTCCGATCAGACGACAATGAGGAAAACTTCCATTGTGTGCCGTCGAAGCAATTATTTTCAACGTGATATCGCAACCTGCATACTTGCGTTCACGAAAAAGTTTAATATGCATATTAAACTTTTTCGTGAACGCAAGTATGAAATAATATGTAACACGCTAAATGCGTTCCAAAGCCACACGCTTTATACCAAATTTGAATTCCTTTTTTTTCTTTGACAATATAATCTTTCCGAATCGACAAGATTAACTTGCCCGAAACTTGGAAAGCAATCGGATACTCAGTGAGATAAATCGCAGTATTTGCTGCTGGACTAAGGGATACCGTAAGGGAAGTAATTTCAGGCCGAAGCCTTAGATGGCAGGATAAATGAAACCTAAAGAGGTCGGGAAGAGTGCACAAAGCCAACTTATCGAAAAAACAAACAGAAATAGGATAAACTTTCGGATGTACGTATCGCAGGCATTTTCGTAGAACCTGGTTCAACAGATGGCAATAAATAAAATCTGTGCGAGTTGCCACAGCTTGCCATTGCTCATTTCGTTTAAAATATCAGCGGCCACCTAAGAACAATATTTTGTCTCGCGAAATTTCTCTCTTACTTCCTACGAGCGTGAAACTTCAAATCCACTTCACTGCGAGTGAAAATGACGCGCGTACGATCGGACGGAAGCCGCGGATTTATTTCGATCAATGGAAAAACAAAAAATGGACTCTTTATCTTAGATTATAACAATTTTTTCTTTAATTAGTAATAATTGTTACGATAAAAGGTCTATTATCTGCCTTATTCATGGTTCAATGGCAAAGTAAAAAAGAACTATTGTTTAAGCTACCTTAATGTATTGAATTATGAAAACCGAGAATTTTTCACCCTGAATTAAGAGCGCAGACTCGCGCTCGTTTTTCTTAAAACCTTCGTATTTCGTATTTATTCTCGCGTGAAAGAAAAGCCGTGGGCAGTTCGCGTGCACTCGTTCCCGGCATTTTGCAGATCGTAACCAACCTGGTTTCTTTTCAAGTACGGTGTTCGCGGGCGCGACGACGTTATAGGACACGGTTTTCGGCGCGCTCACCGCCTTCAGATCGGTTTCCGCCTCGACGGCATTAAGCGCCGACGTCGCCTTCGACTTCTTCTTCTTATGCTCCTTGTCTTTTCTGATCGGTTGCGGTAACGCTTCATTGCTATACGATATAAAAAATACACATAACACAAAATTATAAAATATCATAAGCAAGTTTTGATTCCCAGATCTAGAAATTAATTTCAAAACTCACACTGCTTAGAAATAACGAAAATAATTTGTTCAACTTGGCCACATTTTGGCTAAAGATTTATTCTTTTTTTAAATTTATTTAAAATTGCTTTTATGTAAAATATATTAGAAGTAATTTGTTTATTATGCTAATAATTCTATACTCTATATTTGAAATGCAATATAAATTAATTAGAAAAGAATCGAGTGACATGTATCGCGTAAGAGATAATACTGTGCATTATACATAATTATAATCAAAACATAATATGATTGCGTTCGCGTCGAATGATAATAAATTATAATGATCACACTGGCATACTAACAATTTTCATACAGAATGAATCATAAGATTATCATCGCAGTTTAAAACTGTTAAAACATACGATCGCGGATACATATAGATCGAGAATGTCCGCGTGTCGTGCCATGTGACGACGGGCATTAATGTGGGAACTGTTCGCTGATAAGCGCGACACAGCCACAAACTCGCGCGCGTGTCTAAGAATAAACGCAAGGAAAATATTCCATTGAAAGAATGTGCAAACGCAGTAATTTTACAATCCATTGAAAATAATATTAACTCTGTTCATCATCTTCTTCGACATCGTCTTCACGTCGCGATTGCAACATTCGCGCGGTGATGTCACTGACTTGAAGTTACATTAATAAATCGCGAGTAATTGTAATGAATTAATTGGAGCGAGCTCGCGCTAAACTTGGAGAAATCTATTCAATATCATTTAATGAATTGAACAAATTTATTATTTTACTCTATAAATAAACTGTGAGGAGGCATAGCGCAGAGCGTTTTACAATGTCACGTTGCAATTGCGAGTTTACTGATACACAGACGACGACTTTCTCCCAGAAAGCTCTCGTGAGAGCTATTCCCTGACATAACAATCTAATACAAGGCGCGATCGGCGCATTACACAAGTGAGAGAAAGTCAGCGTTCACCTAACCATCGATTTTTCTCTGCAGAAGCTTTCACCGGAACACCTCTCGATCACGCTATTTACTTTTGTCACGCCGCGAAGTTGCATCATTCGCTTGAAACACGTACTTTTAATCTGAGCAACGTATCTATGCGCCGCAAAGCTGTCAGATTTCCATTGAAAAGACGAGCGTACTACAATCCCGCAAATTTCTTTTACCCCTGAAACACAGCTGCGGAGGTCCCGACGAGTCACGGCGGTTCTAATATTAATAGTCACCGCTGAAATATTCAAACATTCTGTTGTATTAGCTTGTTACCCTATCCGTTATGTCATCAGACATTAGTTATATAAGATGGACGTAACACAAAAACCGAGGCGAATCCATTTCTCCTCGCAGACTCCATTCTTCTCTTTGACGGGCGGAATTATAATATTTCAAATATAGCGTCTCGTTATCTAACGGATTTCGACTTGGGTGTTATCTAACTAATCTGGTTAATGCAATCAAATTACATTTTATAATTAATGTAACCAAGAAGCGATAAATTTTATTTCAAACTATTTATCTGCATCACTTCAAATTTGCGATCAATTAGAATTATATGTGATTTAATTATTCCGTAATTTAGCGAGAAAGATTATATATTTGGAGATCATATATTTTAATGTGTTAATAAAGTCTACTGTTATTTATTCGCTTCTGCAATGAAAACTAGATTTCTAGAATTCAGTATATCAAAGATTATTGCCAATATTCAGGAAATAATTTCAGGAAAAAATTAAAAAAAAAAAACAATTGAGAACTGCTGACTTAACTCTTCATCGCGTCATTGGCTACACAACGGAAGCTGCGGCACGATCAACTAATGTTACCAAATGAGTTCACGGCGATCCAGACGGATTAATGAATACATCGATCGTCGTGAAAGCGATGTTAATTTCAAAGTAACATAATGCGTTCAAAAAATATTCCAATTAATTTGTAATTTTTTATAAAAGCAAATAAAATTACGACGAGTGATTTTTTTAAATATAAACTCGATCGTTGTTCTTGAAAATTTCATTTTAGAGTTGACTGAGTATGCATTATTACGTAATAATTATTTATAATAATTTAAACTGCCTCAAAAAAATGTTTAATTAACGAAACTTTTCCGAAATTTAATTACGGATTATCATTGCAATTTCGGCCAGAAGTATAGAAATCGATATTATAACTACTAGTTTGAATTCTCTTTTATTTTTCTGTTGCATCTTATGCAACGCAAGTTTAATAAATATCTTGATGACACACCAATATTTGCACGTGGCACGGTACATGTGTCGATGTGCTGTGTTGACAGTCTTCCTACAATCACTGTAATCGCGACCTATAATCAGTTTAATCAATATTGTGCCACAATCATTGTGCTTCTGGATTTTTAGACAAAGAAATATACTGTTGCTGACAAACGCGATATACACTTGATATTTCGCGTTGCTTATATTTTATAATAATTTATTGATTATATTAATTTTTTATTTAGGCACAAGTATGACGACGGTAAAACATAATCTAAATATTGGAAGTTTGAATGCTTAAAAATATTGCTTCCATAAAATATTGAAGAAATGTCAATTTTTTCCATATTTCGTAGATTTAATATTTTGGCAAGATGTGATAGATATATTATTGATATAACGCTTGAGTCAGAGAACGATAATATTCGATGTCGGAGATAATATGAATTCTGTCTTAAATATTATGAGGAAGTAAGTATTCTTTCCTCATCGGAAAATAATCCTATTAAAATACGTCACGCGCGGAGTCCAGACTGTTACGGAATGACATCAAGGACTAATGACATAAATAATGCTTCAATGCAAATTCAGATTAAAGTAAGATTGCATTAAAGTAATAAGAGCGATTATATCTGTAATATTTCAGAATAAAGAAGCAGCATGTCTTCCATCAAATTAAAATTCAAATGAGACAGGAGAAAATTATTTATTAAAAAAAAGCGCGTAGAATATATAATTCATAATTAGCTTCACAAAAACACTGATCCTCGAAAGAGCGTTCCGAGTTCGATTTGGCACACGATTTTTCTTTCATACCAGTTTTTCTCAGGCATATAGAATCGCTATAGATTGCAGGGACAATTGTTATCCTTTATCAATTAAAAGATAAATTTCACAACGGTAATTTATGTAAATAGTCTCGAAATACATTCAGCTATTTGCAACACGATCATTTGCTGGCGAACAATTATTCAACGATAAACGTGTATAATGCCCTAAATAGCCGCGCTATTAAATAGTCCTGTATCACGTTTGCACATTCTGTTTAATCCCACGCGTCACATGAGATTGAAATTTAATGATTTCTCATAGAATAATAATAATACTCAAATCCCCTCGCATTTATAATCCCATTGCAATTACAGAACATTTTTATCTTTCGTTTAAAATTTTTATTCGAATAACAATTTATTTTTTTTCTAGAATTTCTCTCCAAATTTAATATCTAAAATAAATGTTATTAAATTCATATTAAAATATAGTATATATATTTCTTTTTCAGACTTTAGAAATGTTTCTTATCATCTCATGAAAAGAAAAGCCATACAGTTTCGCTACATTCGTATGAAAGTTTATTGCCATCGCAAATTGCCTGTGAATTCTTATAAATGATCGATCCTTAGAAGCCGATATAAAAGAGGTAACTTACCTGGATCCGAAGGTCGCAGGATATCTACAATAACCACTGCTCTCGGAGCGATTGCTGTTCCGCGAATTCGAGCTACTGCCGCTACTGCAACAGATAACGACGAGAAATTAGAATAATTCTTCAAATAACACTTGAAAAAATGTCATTTACTTTAATTGCCTGAAATATTGCGAATCAAATAAATGTTTATTACTGTTTTTAATATTCGCATACTTATAAATAATTTTTACAGATTGTAGACTTTATTATAATTTACACCACTTTTCAGTTAACGCGGGATGTCCGACACAAAATCCGTCGAACTACTGCGCGTTTCTGATTGCCGCAGGTCTGACCTTGGCCGGATGTTTCCACTGGCGCCGTTATTATCGCCGACGGATCCTGAGCGGAAAATTTGCAATAAGGAAATACATAATTTGAATAATAAATATCGCAATTAAACGGAGAATAACATTATTTCTAACGTACATGTTTTAAAGTGTATAAATTGTCCCAAAGAAAAACACGGAGATTCTTCACATAATTTTTCTCATCCTTTTTATATAAATTTTATAAAAACAAAAGAAAAATTTGCCTGTAAAATTTTAATAAACAATCGATTGATAGAATGAGATACCAAAAGCAATCGATTCAATCAATTTTGCGAAACTTGCAGAATCTCACAAAGTGGAGAAACACCGCAATGTGATAAACTTTGCAATATTGTTATCGCTCGCTAAATCGCGCATTCCGCACTGTTGCAATCTTTCTAACCGGGTCGATTGCAATCGGCGAGTGAAAATCGTGCCGCGACCTACGTGATCGTCGAGATTCTTCCCGTTGCAACGCGCTGGAGGGTTGCAAAATCGCAATGGCATCGTAATCCCGGTAACGGCCTCGATCGTGGAAAAGGTACGCGATTCGAAAATCGCAAACTGAATCAACCAGAGATCGGGGAGAAAAAAGACCCCGATCACATGTTCGGCAAACGTGACATTCGCGGCCCCTTACTTACTACGGCGGCCTCTCTCAGCCTCCCAGGGCCTTTCACTGTCCCCATTATTCGCTAGCCACCACCGATCGACCGACCGGCCGCATTAGTCAGACTAGAAAAATTATTGCATAAGAAAGCACGCTTCACGTTCGCGGCCCCGTGACTACTGTCGAGGACGACGACGACAACTGTTGCGAGTGTCTATCGATTCCGTATTTTACTGGTTATTTGCCTGAAACTTATCCGGGACGCGGGAAAATAAAATGTCCCTTATTCTCGAACAAGTGGAGAACTGCGTCGTAGATTGCATGACATTATGTAAAATAAATAATTTGCAGTGAGTTGAATTTAATATGCAGAATTTTGTTTTCCCACTTCGAAACTGTATATAGATAATTTTCTTTAATTTTGTGACTTGAAGAAGACATTGTAATTTTTTACACAACACATCTAAAAATAGTCTTATTAGAAATTATTTTAATAACAATAATGATGCAGATGAAAAATTTTCATATCAAATCTTTGTCCATGCATTTCTTGGATAAATATAAAAAATTATAAAATTATATATAACATTAAATAAACAAAATTATTAATTTATATGGTCCTTGATCACTTTTTATCGCTCATTTGCATTTTACGTTGTTGTAAATTTGAATATACCAGAGAATATCCTTTAGAAGAAAGCGGGGAAAAAATTCGGAAGATTTTGTAACTCGAGGAAACGTACTCTCTAATCTACATTCACGTGTAAACGCAATGCGCTGTCACGTGGCTCGAACATGGATTGCAACTTGATTAACGTCTTTTTATTCGACCCGTTTTCGCGTCGGGAATTTCGCAACGCGTCTTTAACCGCATTAGCTAAGGACGTGGAAAATACAATCGGCACACCGGGAGACCGGTTAGCCTTAACCGCACCGTGTACGAGTTTTCATCTCCCTTACACGTTGCACTATTCGCTCGCCTCTCGCCGTCACGCGAGCAAAGCATGTCAATGCCAAGTATCCCGAGGGGTTATTCAGAAAACGTACAATATAAATTAATAGTTCTAATAATTTTTATCACTTTTAATAGTTTATTTTCAATAACTAAATATTTATATATTTAGTTATTGAAAACAATAAATGTAATATATAACGCCAATGCGTTAATTGACATGTAAGATATTCTAAACGTGCAAGAAAAATATGTTTCAAAGTATTAAATACGTGTAAAATACTTTTGCGAATTTTTTCATATATATTATATTTTTTTAAATATTCCGTATTTAAAAAAAAAAGTATATTGGAACATCAAAGATTGGAAGATCAGACACGAATATTTGATACTATATATAAGCGCAATTAATATTATATCATATTTCTTTTGTATTTCAAATGTTTCGAGTAAAATTTTGTTGACGTTCCATCGTATCGATCGACTTACGCAATGTCTACGAGGGATGGCAGTGATCAGGACATGGTAGAGATATATATAGTCTATGCAGAAGCCAGATAATGTTATAAACCACAGATTCTGATCTTATATAAACGTGTAAATGCTTAATCTGCCGAAGAGTAGTATTTCAGCTTAAACGAAAAGATTAACCAATTGCGATCCACGTGATTCCGCAAATTGATAATAATGACTTGATCAATCAATTAATATTACAGCTTAATATTTTCATCTTTATTGGGATAGACATGTCCCACCGCTAGAAAAAGTTTTCTTAAAAAGATTTTTTAACTCACTAAGTTTAGCTAATAACATTGTAATAATTTTATTTTGTTAAAATTTAGGATCCGCGAATTAAATCTTCAAGTAGCAATGAAAGAAATAAGCACTTTTGCAGATTTTTTGCAGAAGTTAATTTAAAATACTTTGCAAAATCATTTGATATCAACTTGTATTTCTATATAAAAAAAAAAAAAAATTTATAATAAACTGCAAGAAAGCTGCTATGCTGAACTCTACATACGATAAACACGCTCATTAAATTCGCAAAACTTCACAGATCATTACTGCGTGTTTGTGTTTTACGTAACAAAAAAAATTCCTCTTAACAATGAATTTATGATAAAACAAAAGCTTTCTAAAGAATAAACATCGACATATATATCGTGATTGTTATATCTACACACAACCAATTAAAAACAAAATAATGTATTATAAAAATAATGAAGTAATTAATAGCTGTGCTATTTTTTCCTTCATTTGTTACAGCCGCATTATCGCTATGCTGAGCTCTGCATACGATAAGCACGTTCCTAAAAACTCTACAGATAATTACTGCATGTTTGTATTTTACGTAACAGAAAAAAATCCCTCTCAACAAAAATAATATTCATAAAGGTTATATGATCATATTAAAGATATAATCCTTTTCCTTGTTTCCCTAAAAGATTATCATTAATAAATATTTATGTTCATAAAATCAAAATTTCTTTATAAAAACTCCAAAATTTTTTTTTTTAAATGTTTGGGAATTCTTTATCTAAATCGTTATTCCAATCAGTTGAGCGAATTTAGATTCTCTTAGATTGATCGCGATAAATCATGGCAAATTATTTTTTCAGCAAGTTCCAGATGAACTTAACGGTCATTACATAATATCACAATAAAGATGCAGTTTCTTTCTTTACAAAGTTATTACCTCACGCCATTTACTGCCCCGTGCAATTATCAATGATATATTAAGAGAAATGTCATTTTCGCATATAGAAATAATGAGAGTATTATGTACGAATATCATAAATACGGAATAATGAAAAGAGCATCTTTTTCTGTAAAATCGTAGAAAAAGAGATTTATTCTCGATCTTCGCGAGAGGGTGCACTGCAGTATGACATATAAAATACACATATAAAATTGGAAAATTATGTAATTATCTATTATTATGATTGCTCGGTCAAATATAATATAATATAATTACGCGTGACAAAGTATAATATTAACATCGCACAATTTATCCGATTATTTCGGTGTGCATTATTCTCAGCAAAGGGGTGAACAGTCAGATAAATTGAGACGACCTTGAATTTTATCAATAGTCTCACTGTTTACGTGTTTCCTTTATGTATCGGTACATACTTCGCGATATATACTGTCGCACAACAAGATTTTAATTAATCATTTCTGTAAATCAATTATTATCTTATATATTATAAAATGATAAAATGTAATAGATAATAGAATATAAATAGAGAAACAAAATAGAGATAAGAATATATACGTAAATAGAATAAAATGTAAAATGTAATAAAATGTAATAAAATAAAAGTTGAACGCGATATGACGGGTCTGACAACATATTATCTACATTTTAGAAGAAGAATATTCAATTTTGTAATTTAAAATTAATAGGTTAAGTATGATAGGTAATGTTTTATAGCGCCATTTTTATAGTATCATTTAAAATGATCGACATAAAATTTATTTTAGTATGATTAACATATTTTAATTTACTTACCGCTTTGCAATATCAGTTTCTGGAAATGTACAACGTTATAATGTCGTTTATTTATCGAGAAGCGAATTTATATGTCTGATGCATATTCTAGTGCAACCCTTTGACCCAGTCAACAAAATGTTAGCAGCCTGCCGGCAGTTTGCG